ATAGATGCCACCTGTAAAACATCCTATACAAATTTTCTTTATATGCAGTTGACATTGTCTTTTATAATTTTGAGACCACAGTTTCTGCAATTCTCTAAGTCAATCCCATTTCCAAAAATCCCCCCCCCCCCAAACAATCAGGGATTCTTTAACTGGTTCTTCTTCTAATTTAACTTCTAATAAATATCTGTACAGTTTTTTAATCACTTTTTCATCAGTACCTGTCAAATTTTATCTAACTCGGTCATTTTATCATGGAAACCTTCCATTTTAAGATCTTTGTGGTATCTAGACTTTATTTGCAAATATGAAAACCAATTCATCTTTATACCTTGCTGTTCCAATTCTTACATAGATTTAAGTTCACCCTTTGCATTCAATATTTCATCATATCTGTTTGTTCCTTTTTGTACGTTATTGAATATGAAAATGCCTCAATAGTTGATAACCAGACTGGAATTTTAAAATAATGTCTTTTAATCTTTTCCCAGTTTAATAACAAAGCCTCACATATGTAATGTCTTCTAAAATATCCCTGCGTTTTAGTTCCCTTGAACCATAGGAAAGCATGCCATCCCAACAACAAATCATGTCCTTTTACAGTCAATAATCTAGAATTTCTTAATGTTATCCACTCCTTAACCCACAGATAGATCCCACTGTTAACAGGCTCATTTGCTAGGTCCGCTCCTCATTTTATTGTCACCATCACAGGTGATATGGACTAAAAGCATGTAACTGGCCCAAAATCCATAATTGAATGGAATTTGAATGTGAGACTTCCTGGTCCCAAATTCATATTGTAATAATTACACTAATCTTAGAATTTCATATCACATCTATTCATTTTATGCACTTTTGCTATTTTTAATAGATCAACAATTATGCCTTCTGCTTAAATAGGACTTTTTAATTACTATTTTAACTTAAAAAAGAAAAAATAAATATTGCTGATACAAATACAGACTGGGACTTTGGATTGAATATGATTCTCTGTTAGAATATTATGAGAGCTAGAGTTGGCAAAGATGTTTGAAAAACCATCAAGAGGCATAGGTACTTACCATATTTTTCAGACTATAAGACGCACCGGTGTATAAGATGCACCATGATTTTAAAGAGGTAAGTAAAAGAAGAAAGTTTTTGTCTTCCCCGGCCCCCAGGAGCACTCTGCAGGCTTCAGCAGGGCTGGGGTAAGGCAAAAATGTCCCGTTTTTCACCAAAACGGGGGAATTTTCCCCTTCTCCCAGCCCTGCTGAAGCCCACAGAGTACTCCTGGGAGGGTGGGGGAAGGCAAAAACACCCCATTGTTTTTGCCTTCCCCCACCCCTCCCATCCTATTTTGCAACTGCTCTGCTCCGCTTCTGCCTGTCCCTGCTATCAGTTTCCACTCCTCCCCTTCCTCTTCCCACGTGTTTGCTTGTTTGCGTNTGCCACCTGTAAAACATCTTATACAAATTTTCTTTATCTGCAGTTGACATTGTCATTTTATAATTTTGACACCACAATTTCTGCCAATTCTCTAAGTTATTCCCATGTCCAAAATTTTTCCCCCAAGCAATCATGGATTCTTTAATTTGTTCTTCTAGTTTAATTTCTAATAAATATCCCTATAGTTTTTTTAATCACCTTTTCATCAGTACCTGTCAAAAGTAGCTAGCACTACTGCTCAATAGACTTTGAGCTTTGTAGTAAGACTTATTCCACTGTGGTCCCATATGTTGGTCAGTAGTCTGCCAAATGCAGAGCTTGTCTTGGCGATTCTGCAATTGATCTCAATGTCTATTGTCACTGCATGGGAAAGGGTGCTACCAAGGTATGTATGTAAATTGGTCCACTGCTTGCAGCTTTTGTCCCTTCATTGTGATGGTGGGCTTTTGGTGTTGGGCTTTCACAACTGGCTGATGCATCGCTTTGGTCTTATTTATATTGATGAGGAGGCCAAAGTTGCCGCATGCTGCTGCAAATTTGTCCACACTGACTTGCATTTCCTGCTCTGATGCAGCATTCACGGCAAAGTCACCAGCAAAGAGGCGGTCACGTAGCACAGTCTCATTTATCTTGGTGACAGCCTGGAGTCTTTGCAGGTTAAACAGTTTCCCATCAGTCCTATATCTCAGGCTAACTCCCAAGGAACTGTTGTGGAAGGCGTCTGGCAGCATGGCTGAAAACATTATCGCCCAAGGTCTGGGCAAATACACACCCTTGCTTGACACCATTTGTAACAGGAGAGGCCTTTGAAGCTTCTCCGTTGTCCAGAACATGAGCCACATACTGTTGGGGAACTGGAGTACCATCAGGATGAATCAGGGCATGATTCAACATGATGTACCACAGACCTTCATGACTGACAATGTCAAAAACCTTAGTGAGATCCATGAAAGTGGAGTACAATTTACAATTCTGCTCTTGACACTTCTCTTGGAGCTGTCAGGCTGTGAAGATCGTGTCCACAGTGCCACGCTTTTCACAGAAACTGCACTATGTCTCGGATAATAAACCCTGTTCCAGGTGATCAGTCGGGCAGTTCAGTAACACTCATGCAAGAATCTTGCCTGCGATGGAAAGCACTGATAGTCCTCTATGATTATAACAGACTTATCAATTCCCTTTTTTCCTGAAGAGATGTACAATGGACGCATCTTTCAGTTCCTGAAGAATGGATCCTTAATTCCAGAAAAACTGGAACAGCTAAGTGAGTTTGTCAACAAGCACTGCACCGCCATCTTTATAGACCTCCACTGGGATTGCATCAGATCCTGGGGCCTTGCCACTGGACAGCTGACTGATGGCCTGTAGCGTTTCAGTCTTTGATAGTGAGGCATCCAGGCTGCAATTGATATCCATCTGGGGCATTCTGTCAATCACCTTATTGTTGATGGAAGATGGGCGGTTCAATATGGATTTGAAGTGCTCAGCCTGTCGCTGTAGAATCAGAGTTGCTGTCAGATCTGGGAATCTGCCATTATTCAGGGGAAGGGGGGACCCTTGCTTACATTTATACTTTATTCCTTTCTTCCCCCATGTATGCTGTATCTTGTGATCTATTGATTTATAACATTTAGACTTGCGCTTAAGCAGCCTAGCATTTTCTTATCTTTTGGGGAATGTAAGGGGAGAGAGGGCCATGTGGGTTGCATCGCTTGAAAACTGGCAGAGGATGACCCTGATAAAGTTCACTTATCACTTTCTCAGAGCTGCCTGTACAATAACATCTTCACACCTGCAGATTGGCTGAATTCACATTGGACTGTTTGGAGGGGTTTCTAATTCCTTTTAATCTAACAGTATTGCCTGAGGGCTGTCAGCGCCTGCTTTGATTACATCCTGCTATAACTCCTGTTCAATAAAAGGTTCCCTTTGAAATGCCAAGTTTCAAGAGTTTTTACTTTCTTTTTTTTTATTAAATTNGTTTCCCACAGAAAAGAAAACACTGGGAGCCACAGAAACCCTTCATGTGTCTGACTACTTCCTAAGCGGCCACAAAACTAGCACATGTAGTTGAATTAAATGTTCTGTTTTCTTCAGAAACTTTTCCTTTCTTGGATTTAATCATGGTGACCTACCGGGGCTTGAAAAGCTCAATAAATCACATGCCAGTGGGTGTTGCACATTGGTGGCTATGACGCATATTTTGAGTCACAGGGAGTCGCAGTAGAGGAATGAAAGAGCCACATGTGGCTCCAGAGCCGCAAGTTGCTGATCCTTGACCTAAACATAGTTCATAGAAATTACCTTTGTTCACTCTTTTTCCTCCTCTTTCTGCCATTCCAAATTATTAATGTTCATACTTTTATTTCAAGGTTAATAGGTAGCCCCATACATACAACCATCCATTTAGTGACCTTTTGAAGATACAATAGCATTGAAAAAAAGGTTTTCATGCTTGCAACCCCACAGTCACATGAGCCAAATTTGGATGCTTGGCAACTGGCGTGTACTTAATGACAGTTGCAGTGTCCTTGGGTCACATGATCACTTTTGGCAAACTTCTCATAAAGGAAATCAATGGGGGAGGGTGAGTGAGCTTGCTGACATAAGAGATTTTAATAGCATTGAATCTCAGATTTCTTGCTGAATTCCCCTTTTTTGCTATCCTATCTAGCCATCCTTCTACGTTGCGTTGAAAATTCCACCATCTGCCCTTCGTTGTCCGGCTTTCTGTTTACACAGTGGAACAGTGAAACCCACAATGAGGTATGCAAATTTGGTTGCTGCTTTGTGTCAAAAGAAGTTGTCAGAGTGATCTTATACTGGAGTCCAACATGTGTTTAATTTATATCCAGGAGGTTCCACCAACTCGTTGGCTACCGGGTTTCTTACCAAATCTTCTTTTCTAGATGTTTTCTCAAGTTCTGTTAGGAAATGTTTAACTTAAGAAAGCTTGAACCTCGACTGCGAAGTCTTTTGAATAACGTAAGTTCATTGGGCTTTTCTCAGCTCTATCATTACTTATGTAGATGTTGAGACTTTGGAAAAAGTTCAGAGAAGAGCAGCTAAGATGATCAAAGGGCTGGAGACTAAAACATATGAAGAACAGCTGCAGGATTTGAGTCTGGCTATTCTAAAGAAAATAAGAATTAGGAGTGAGACTATAGCAGTCTTACAGTATTTGAGGGGCTGCCACAAAGAAGAGGGAGGTAAATTATTCTCCAAAGTCCCAGAGGGCAGGACAAGAAACAATGGATGAAAACTAACCAGAGAGAGAAGCAACCTGGAATTAAGGAGAAATTTCCTAACAGTGAGGACAATTAACCAGAGGAATAGCTTGCCACCAGAAATTGTGGGTGCTCCGTCAGTTGAGGTTTTTTTAATATATATACATAATTTTTTATTTTTCAACAAACATAAAGACAAGACATGTAACATAAAAGTATCTTCCATTTCATACAGTGTCGATTGGTCACAGAGTTTTTGTGCATCCTTTCCATAGTCATCACTTACATTTTATATAAAATCACAGATTTTCAGTCAAATATATTTATATACATCACTATTATAATACTGCATTTGTTTGACTATCACTA